AATCACAGCTTTCTGTTGTTTTCACCTCACGTGAATCGCCGGCCAGAAACTCTCTTCCCTTCACCTCACAGGAAGTAGAACCTCTCAATTACTTTGTCCTGGCAAGTGCCGCGCCAGCACTCTGTTGTTTTCACCTGACGTGCACAAGAAGCACCTCTGTTGATTTCACCTGGCTGGGGCAGAATGACAGCGGTGTTGGCGCAGGCACCGCACTTGGGACCGCCCATGCCGCGCTCCATCATCATGCCAAAGAAGCCCTTGGGGGGTGCCTGGGGGGAGGCGTGGCGTGGAGGGAGCGAAGGGGTGGGGGAATTGTTGGGTTGGTTTCGTGAGGAAGAGGCGGTTTTGCGAGGTGGCACTCACACGCAGGCACCGCACTTGGGACCGCCCATGCCGCGCTCCATCATCATGCCAAAGAACCCCTTGGGGGGGGCCTGGGGAAGAAGTGGGGGGGGAGGGAGTGCGGGGTGTTTGAAGTGGATAATAGGAGCGGAGGAAGGAGAGTGGGATGAAATGCACTGAGGCCGCACTTGAGACTCTTGCAAGAGTCGCACTTGAGGCCGCCGGGGCCGCCCATGCTGCACTGCACTGCACTGCACTGCACTGCACTGCACTGCACTGCACCCCATCATCATGCCAAAGAACCCCTTGGGGGGCGCCTGGGGGAGTGGGGATGAGTGCGGTGGGAGGGTATGGGAGAGCATTAGATTGGCCCATTGGGGGCAGATGCGCAAACTTTCAACCGTAAAACCACCTGCCCGCCCGCCGGCATGCCACACCTTTCCATCCATACTATGTCAGCCCCAGCAGCGGCACACCATCCTCCCCTCGCCCTCACCAGAGTGACTGCGTGGTGCGTCCACCTCCTTATATGCACGCACCACGCAGTCACCCTCTCTGGGTGATTTTCGATTCGACTAAAAGATCAGATCACCTTGCATATACACAAACCTGGACCCGTGTATTCACCTGCTCCACCTCCCTTCCTTCCTTCCTTCCTTCCTTGCAGGCTCACTCACCAGAGTGCGCTTGTCCGCCTCCTAGTACGCGCGCAGGGTCACCCTCTGTAGGCCCGTGCCCTTCATTCTCAGCAGCTACTCACCTAGTAACCCATGCTATTGTTCAGCAATACCCCATGCCCCATGCCCCATGCCCCATGTCCCATGCCCCATGCCCCGTGCCCTTGTGTGCGGGGTGACTCACCAGGGTGCGCTTGTCCACCTCCTCATACGCGCGCAGGGTCGCCCTCTCCAGACTCGTGCCCTTGCTCAGCGCGGCTGGGGTTGGGGTGAGGCGTGCAGGCGTGCAGGCGTGCAGGGGTGAGTGAGCATAGGGGGTGCGGGGATGCGGATGAGAGCGATGTCGATCAGGCATGGGAGCATGAAGGCGAGCAGGGTCGAGGGTGGAAGGGCGCACGAGGAGAGGAGTGATGAATAAGAGGACTGGGAAGCGAAGCGACAATGGCATGTGCACGGACAAGGAGACGCCAGGGAGGGAGAGGCGAGAGGAGTTGAGACGGGGAAACATGCAGTTACGGGGAAACATGCAGTTATGGGGAAACATGCAGTTACGGGGAGGCTGCGTGGGGCACCCATAAGTGTGTGAGCCCCGTACACGCGGACACGCGAGGGAAATGTGGGTATGTGTGGGCATATAGCCCGGCTAAGCAGGGAACACGCGGAACAGTCGGGGCAAAGCATGGCACAGCCGGGTATAAACTGCCATGCGCATGCGTCACACACGGAAAGACACAAGTTGAGAAGCATGCAAGCGCGCCACAGCACTCACTCTCAATGGCTTTCTTGTATGCGGGCCACAGCTCCTTCTCCAAAAACCTGTTGTAAGTAAGAGAGTATAGGGGAGAGACAGGTCAAATGGAGTGAGTGAGTGAGTGAGTGAGTGAGTGAGTGAGTGAGTGAGTGAGAGTCAGTGCAAGCAGCTCACTCGGCCACCACCCATCGGTCAAACACTCCAAGATCGCTTCTTCAATACACATTTGACACATCTTATCACATTTGACACATCTTATCACATTTGACACACGTTATCACGTGCCTAGAAACCCTTGAGAGGAGGCAATTCACGTTTTCCTCATGATTGAACGGGCAGGTCAACCTGTTCACCTAACCGCAGCAGCGGTGCCCCCATGCCCGTTCAACACACCACTGACCAATGGCATGCCTCTTTCCAGTGCGTGTGTGTGTGTTTGTGTTTGTGTCCAACTCACCACCCCAGTGACTGCGCTGCGCATCCACACCACCAGCCAACCAGTCAACAAAACTAAGCAACCATTCTCCTCCCACTCACTCGGCGACCGCGGCGCCCCCATGGCCGTCGAACACGGCGAAGAAGGAAGGGCTCTTCTCCCCCTCCACCACCGCCGCCACCCTGTCCTCCATCACTGGCCTCTCTGACCCCTTCACCTTGTGCGCGCCGTAGCTGGGGGAAGGCAATGGGGAGGACAGGGGAGGGAATGCGGGGAAGTGGGGAAGGAGCACTTGAGCTCGAATGCCACCTGGCCTTCTGTCCTCCATTCTGTGGCATTCTGTCCTCCATCACTGGCCGTTCTGACCCCTTCACCTTGTGCGCGCCGTAGCTGGGGGGAGGCAAGGCGATGCGAGAAGGGCGAGGACGGGGAGGGGTGGAGAATGAAGACTTAGGCCATTCGGGTGCCACCCTGTCCGTCCTTCATCGCCGGCCACCCCATGGAATGCGCAGGGGAGAGCTGTCACGCGGTCCCTCCATGTCTTCCCGCACCCCGCCTCTTTCATTACAGAGAAGAGAACGCGTTAGCCCATCCGCTGTCCAGTTCGTTCTCAGGCCTCCCTGATGTTGTCTCTCCCGTTGATCCCTGATCAAACCATTGTGTCTCCGTTTCTCCATCCATCTCTCTTCATAACCTATCTTTTGATTCTCCTTACGGCGATTCTCTCCTTCGCATTAGACCCGTCTCCCACTCTTCCCCACAGCTCACCTCTTTCCCTTCACCAGCGCAGCTTGTGGTGCCACGTGGCGGAGAGATGACCCCTCCACGGCAGCGGGCCTCGCTGACGTGGCATTGGCGCGCAGGGGTGCTGCTGCAGACGTGAAAAGGGAAAAGAGTGCAACAAATGATTGAAACGATTATCACTGCACAGGGACGGAAAGCGAAGGCAACACGCGCTATGGTGAAGGCGGAGACAGTTGGAATCTGTAAAGGCAGTGTATGGTGCTGCACTCTGCGCTATGGTTCCTTTCAGAGACGAGGTGGGGGGCAACGGTGGAAGGGTTTCGCATCAGCGCAGTGTGCAGCGGGTTTGTACGACACGCGAGTGCGGGTGATTAGACCCAGCCAAGCTGCTCCGATTGAATGCGAAGTGCGATCGCCCCATGCCGGCCGTGCGATTATGTAAATGTTCGGCCATGATGCCTCGTGATTGCGTCGGTGTCTCGCTGTGATGCCTTGTGATTGCGGTCAATGCGTACGCGTCACAGCGGCGAGCCGCTCGATTTCACGCCGTCACACACGTGTGCTCGCAGGTACGCGGTAAAGGCAATTCAATGTTGTGATGGTCCGCGCAACGGCAATTCAATGTTGTGATGGTCCGCGCAACGGCACCCGAGTTCGCAGCCACCACGACACGAGATGGTTCGCGAACGGGCGAAAAGGTCGGTACGTGTGATTGAATATCCGCGCTACGATCGGTAGACGCAACAATGCCGTCGAGGCGCGAGAGTTTGCCGCTCGCGATGCGCTCACCTTATTGGCCGCCAGTGAACAGCGATGGCCTCACCTGATTGGCCGCCGGTGAACGCGCTTGACGAGAGGAACGGCGCGGCGGTTTGCCGTTGAGGCAGCTGCAAGACGACAAAATGAACCACAGGGAACGCGGTAGAGAGGCGACCAACGTGTGAGAGAGAGTATAATTAGGGATGCACATTGTGCTGGATTCTGGCGACTGCAATAAAAGCATTCGTATGATCAAGGCACACGGCTAGGGACGAAAAATGTGGGCGCGGGAAAGGTTAATTGGAAAGGTGTTTACTGCGAGGCGCGACTGATGGCCTGCCAGGGAGCTGCCGGCCAGGGAGCTGCCGGCAGCAACAGAGGAAGCAGTAGCGGTAGCCATGGCGACGTAGCGACTCTGGTAGCACACAACGAAATGAAGAGTGTCAGAGTGAATGGGGTGAGGGGGTGATGTGATATGGATTCAAGGGTTGTTGTGAGCACCCGTGGATGTCATTTCGTACTGATCATTGAGCGCGACAGGTTAATACGAAGGATAATACCCTCAAGGTGCCATCTAATCTCTATATTCCACCTTGTAATGATTCTTGTTTCTGGTTCTTGCACCGTCGTAGTAAAAGAACTGCTCTGACTGATGGGTAGCTGCAATATGGTAGTTCTGGTAGTTGTACGCCGAAACATAGGGTACATTTCCGTGGTGCACTCCCTGATCAACCATCAGCACCTAAACAACCACCCTTCACTCAACCAAAGATGACTCTCGTAGAGCTGACACGTGTCAGGAATAATTCCAAAACAATTGGAAAACGATGCCACATCGGCCAATTCTTTTCTCCGTGGTCAGAGATGATCCACCTTGGCAACCCAAACAGACTCTTTCCTTTTCGAGACATGTATACTCTACATTGAAAAACCTCGCAAAGTCTATAACAGCTGAACTGATCAATAAATCAATAATCAAAACATCATGTAAAGAGTCACCACCTTCGTCTTCCCCTTTCTTTCATCCTTCGCTGCCCCCCTTCTTTCGCCCCCTTCCCCGCGCTCAACCTTCCCCCAGGCCATCCGCATCCTTCCGCTGTCGCCCCATTTTCCCGCATTTCACCTCACAAACTGCAGAATCCTCGCACACGTTTTCATCCCGCCTGCCCGTTCCGCTCCGCCGATCCCGCCGTCACACCCGCCATTCGGTCCGCTTTTCTTCCCACCTCCACTCTTTTGTAACCCTCCGTACCCATCGTGCCACGTGTCGATCCGCTCGCCGACCATCAAAATGCAGCGCGCACCAGCAGCAGCCTTCTCGCTTGTCAGATCCGCCGTCCTCAACCACGTGCGGCTACCCGTGGCGCCTTCCTTCTGGTCGCGCGTCGGCAGCGCGCCGGCCAGCGGAGCCCCGAGCCGCGGGTTCGCGGAGTCGGCCGGCACTTACCTTGACAAGGACGCGGTGACGGAGCGCGTGCTGAACGTAGTTAAGAAGTTCCAGAAGGTGGATCCGAAGCTGGTAAGATCTCGAGGAACGTCGGCAGCAAGTCGATCGCGGCGTTGAGTGATTAGGGTTGTCGTGGTTCCCATAGCTGCCTTTGTTGGAATATGAGGATTCTTTTGAGACGACTCAAAATTCACCTGCGCGCGGCGCCGAATGGATCGAGAAAAGTAGCGTGCACGGATCGCGGAGGCGACTCCCTTAGTTCATGATTCACCCGCGTGTCTCGGTACTGGGCGGCAAGTGCCTCGAATCTGCAGATTCAGCGCGCATTCGAGGCACGCGTGACCGTCTGTGCCGATGCGCCTGCGCGCGATGCCTAAGGCTGTGAGAACCATGAGTCGCAGTTACATGAAGCTTTTGCAGGGGGGACGGTGGTGACGTTGGGAAAGCAGAGCTAGCTAGAGAGAAAGTGAGGTGTTGTGACCGCTTCTTTCCTTCACCCTCCTCCCTTCCTCTCTTCCTCCTCCAATCCGTGCCTCTCACTCGTTCGCTCTCCCTCCGTTCCTTCTTCCTCTGTCCCCCATTCCACCCTCCTCTAATAATTGTTTCCCCCCTCCACTCTTCATGACTGCTGGCCCAGCACCTCCCAGCCTCGTCCCTTAGCGTCCCTTTTTGCCTTTGTGCGCGATGACTGCAAACTAATGGGGGGAAGAGGAAGATGGCTGTTAATTGTCTGACAAGAAACGTGGATTTTTTGTTGTTTTTTTTTTTTTTTACCTTTTTTTTTTCTAATAACTTGCAAACAAGGCCACACCACCACACCACAAGGATCCTTCGCGCTTGATACTCCCAATGTTCCTGTCTCCTGCGTTCTTGGTGTCTGCTCCTCTAATAATCTCGTGTTCTACTCGTTTTAGTCTCATGTTCGTCCCATATCTGTCCCGTGCTCTTTCCATGTGCTCTACCCGAGCCGTGCTCACTCCCCATGCAGGTGATGACCCCCGTTCCGCACTTCCCGAAAGACCTGGGGCTGGACTGGGTGAAGGTGGTGGTAACATTCCTGGCCCCTTTCCCCCCTTGTGCCTCGTGTAACTGTGTGTGCGTGCAGGTTACCCCCACCTCCCACTTTCAGGAGGACTTGGGGATTGACTCGCTAGACGGGTGCTGATGCCATAATGCCACTCCTGCTCCCATTTCCCCTCCATGCCCCGTGTGACTTTGTGTCTCAGGTGTGACCCCTGCCGCCCACTTCCAGAAAGACCTGGGGCTGGTCTTGCTAGGCGGAGCAGGTTCTGTGATATCATTCCGTCCCTTTCCACCCTTATCCTCCTCGTGTAACCGTGTAACCGTGCTGACTCCTCATGCAGGTGATCCCCACGGCGAACTTCCAGGAGGACTTAGGGCTGGCTGGACTCGCTCGACGGGGTGGAGGTGGTGATTCCATTCCTCATGCCTTGTGTAACAGTGTAATCAGGTAACCATGTCGACCCCCCATGCAGGTGACCCCCACGGCGAACTTCCAGAAGGACCTGGGGTTGGACTCACTAGACGGGGTGGAGGTGGTGATGACATTATCCCTCTCCTGCCCCCTTTCCCACCTCATGCCTTGTGTAACTGTGTGTGCTCTCAGGTGACCCCCACTGCAAACTTCCTGAAGGACCTGGGGTTGGACTCGCTAGACGGGGTGGAGGTGGTGATGCCATAACGCCATTCCTGCTCTTTCCCCCCCCCTATGCCTTGTGGAACTATGTGTGCTTCCAGGTGACCCCCACTGCAAGCTTCCAGAAGGACCTGGGGCTGGACTCACTAGACGGGGTGGAGGTGGTGATGGCGTTTGAGGAGGAGTTTGCGGTTGAGATCCCCGATGCCGATGCCGATAAAATCCTCTCCTGCGCTGATGCCATTGATTACATCGCCTCGCACCCACAGGCCAAGTGATGCGTGGGATGTGCGTGGCACAGTGCTAGGGCAGGGTATCCTTGATTAATTACCATAGGTCTGCTGTTCTTGTTAAGTACACCTGGTTTCATGCGTGCAAATAGCTGATGGCGTTGTGGAATATGCTATGGTGTTGTGGAATAGAATATGTTTTTATGACAGACTATTTCCCCTCAAAAGTATTATAGATTCTGTCATAATTGAGTTACAGTGCTACAGTGTGCTAAGAATGTACGACTGTGTGACACTGGGTAGGTCTGGTACCAGGCCTTCGAATAAAGCATGCGTCGTGCTGGAACCAAGTTAATATCCCATTCTTGCTGTATTTTTCTATGCTTGTTTTGTTAGTGTGTCTCGAGGTTAACGGTAAGTAAGAATGCAAATGTACCACCCACTCAACAAAGCAAGTGTTTTACAGTTTGTTTCGGAAACACCCATACCCTGTACATCCGGTCACAGATGGTCAAAGCCAACGATTCCGCGCGGTCGGTTGGTGTCGGTGCTCGATGGTCCAAAAAAGTTCCAGACACGTCAGATCCTTTCAGCAATTCAATTCGGAGATCTGACGTGGACCGAAAGTGGTGGCAGTAAATGGGCCACGCAGCTGGCTTCCGTCTCGGGAACTGAAGCTGAACATCCACCGTGGCGCCTTTAATAGGCAGCCACGTCTCACCATGAACATTTGCTGGCTTTCTGGTGTACAGTATGCAGCTCCCGTCGCCCTAGACGCACTAGTACTCAATCTCCGGTTCGAGAAATATATAATTCATGCGCCATCAGTTCTCACTTTATCAGTCTTGTTGACCTCATCACTTCTTGATCAACAAAAAACCATTACTCGCTATCAAGAGCTCCAATACCCCACTATCCATTCACAATGTCTTCCTCCCCCGTCGCACACCAATCGCTCGCCGCCCTTTCCTTCAGCGCAGCAGTGAAGGGCGCTGCTCTCTCCGCCAATCGCCTAGCAGTACCTTCCACCATCGCTCCCCGCGGATTCGGCGTCATCGCCCTCCTCGGCTTCAACAAGTCCGCCGTCCCCGCTAAGACCGCCCCCGTCAAGAAGCAACTGCGCACCGAGGACGGCATCTTTGGCACATCCGGCGGCTTCGGCTTCACGAAAGCCAACGAGCTCTTCGTGGGGCGCGTGGCGATGCTCGGATTCGCGGCGTCGCTGCTGGGCGAAGCGGTAACCGGGCAGGGAATCCTTTCGCAACTGAACCTGGAGACGGGCATCCCCATCACGGAAGCCGAGCCGCTGCTGCTCTTCTTCATCGCATTCACCGTGCTCGGCGCCATCGGCGGGCTGGGCGACCGCGGGCGATTCGTGGACGACGACGCGCCGGCGGGTCCGCCGGTTAAGCCGGGGAGCTTCAAGGCGGCGCTGGGATTGAGCGAGGAGGGGCCGCTGTTCGGGTTTACCAAGGCGAACGAGCTGTTCGTGGGGCGCATGGCGCAACTGGGATTTGCGGCGAGCCTCGTGGGCGAGGTGATCAGCGGGCGAGGCGCGCTGGCGCAGCTGAATATCGAGACTGGCTTGCCCGTGTGGGAGCTGGAGCCGCTGCTGCTCGCCAGTATCGCCTTCTTCTTCGTCGCCGCTATCAACCCCGGTACAGGGAAGTTCATTAACGACGACGAGTAGAGCCTCTCACAGCATCTGTACATAAAATACTTTTGTATCTTTTCCTGTGTATACGAAGAATTGCAGTAAAATTTTACTTATTTATGCACACACTGACTACCTGGGGGTCGAACATGACTAAGTCGCGTGTGAGAGATTCGAAAATCTCTCACAGCGTGGCCAACATTCACACAGCTGCATGCAATCGCGCACATCATCCCCTCCCATCTCTCAATTAGTCCCACCCACCACCTAATTCCATCACACCCTCCCTGCCAATGAATCACACGCAGGTTAAATTTTATAACCACATTCAATGATGTCACATATTGACGACCTGATGGTATTAAACTACTGGCATCATTGCCCACATTCTACCATCTCACTCAAACACAGCGTCGCACGAAAGCACACAGTCATGCCGGGCCATTTCACTCACACACCTCCCACACCATCATACAGCGGATTTCATGCCTTATCAGTCACTCAACATCCCATGCCATCATGCACAGGGCATTCCAAGCGACCGGACTCACACGCACCATCCGATGCCATCATGCAGCCCAAATCATGCCATCTCACAACCCATATCATGCCATCTCACAACCCATATCATGCCATCTCACAACCCATATCATGCCATCTCACAACCCATGTCATGCCATCTCACAGCCCACACCATGCCAACTCATACGCACACCATCCCATGCCATCAATTCGACCATTTTATCCCATTTCGTGTAATCACAACATCCCGTGTTCAACACGATTCATGCCAACTCACTCACATACCATCACATACAACCACATACCATCACATACCATCACGTACAATCACATACCGTCACATACCGTCACATACAATAACATACCATCACATACCATCACATACAATAACATATCATCACATTCACCCATCCCGTGCCATGAGACCTCACTCACACGCCATCTCATACAATCACACCGCCAATTTCATGCCATATCACTCACACACACCAACCCATGTCATATCTCTCACATACCATTCCAAGCAATCACACACACTTTCCCATCCCATCCCATCCCATCCCATCACACACACCATCCCATCCCATCCCATCCCATCGCACACACCATCCCATCCCATCACATCCCATACCATCCGCCACACCTTCCTATACCATCACACAAGATGCTGAAAGATGCTGCCTTTGTCCCACAGAGACTTGTGCATCAAGAAGGCAGTATCAAAGGACCCCCCATGACCGCCCTGTTGGCCCAGCCTGCTACCGACTGGGTTAAAAGGGCATGTTTGTATGGTGGGTAGCACACCCATAACCCTCCCAGGCCGCACCTGTAGCCCTCCCACACTCAATATGGGACGATCCCAGTGCCCCACCAACAATCTCCCCCTCACTGGGGTCGTCTCCCCCTCACTTGGGGCCCGTTTGGGCACTGGCGCTCACTTGGCGCACACTGGGATTTGAACCGGAGATCTTTGGCTCTGATACCACTTGTTGGCCCAGCCTGCTACCGACTGGGTTAAAAGGGCATGTTTGTATGGTGGGTAGCACACCCATAACCCTCCCAGGCCGCACCTGTAGCCCTCCCACACTCAACATGGGACGATCCCAGTGCCCCACCAACACGCCCAGGTTGTGCTCATGTGCTGGGGCAGGTGAGATCTCATGTGGAGCAGGTGTGTGCTGAGATGGTGGAGGTGATGTAGTATTACATTAGGATGCCTAGTGAGTCCACAGTCAGGGCATCACATGTGCCACCAATTTTGGAAGCCCATCATCCCTTTGCTGTCCCATTCTTGTGGATTGGAACAGTTTATTCTTGCCTGTTTTCTGTTGAATGTGGATCTGATTAAATTTTGTGGTTTGTTTCTGCCCGTTAGTTTTTGGTGAACCACTCAGTTCATCCCGTCTCATTCCATCCCATCCCATCCCATCCCATCCCATCCCATCCCATCCCACCACATCCCATCCCAATCAATGCCATCCCATGCCATTCCATGCCATCCAATCCCATCTCATCCCGTCCAATCCAAACCCAACTGTATAAAACTGAGTTGCCATCTCAGTTGCCATGGCATTTGCCATTGCACTTGCCATATCAATTGCTGTCTCGGTAGCCATTTCAGTTGACTTTATGTTGCCTTCTAAGTTGCCATTCCACTTGCCATTTCAATTTACTTGTCAGTTGCCACCTAAGTAGCCTTCGCAATGTCTATGTCAGTCGCCGTCTCAGTTGCCATATGTTTTACATTCTCTGTCACTTCCTGTTTGCCTTGCTGCCTGCTTGCCACCTCACTTGCTCCTTCTCTCCTCACCACCAGGGTAGTTGGTTACCAGCAACATGACAATGTGAATCGCTCTCTCCCTTTCCAAACTCCCAACCCCCTGCCCTCCTCCTCTGCTTCCCTTCACGCACCCCCTCGCAATCCCTCCCTTAACTCTGCTGCTTCCATTCTCTCCCCTCCTCCCAACACCACTCCCCATACTCACTACTTTCTCATGTACTTCACCTCCGCGTTTGGGAAGCAGCAACCTCACTCCAGAAACACCCTCTTCCCTTGCTGCCCTCCATCCGAGGTTCTCAGTCGCATCACCCAACCCCATGCCTTGCATCTGCTATGTGACTCATGCACCCATGCAAGAAAGCATTCACACACCCATGCAACCACACACCGATGCACCGATGCACCCTTTACTTCAGTTTTTCATCAATCTGCCCGGACCCCAGAACCTTGTTACGGATATGTGACCCTGAACCCATCCACCCATGCACACGTGCATGCACCCATGCACCCATGTGGTTATTCACCCACGAACCCAAGTACCGTATACACGTTCCCATGCAGGCACAGGTGGAGGATAATGTCAAGATTTTTAACACAGCATCTGGGAGCTGTTCCATTCACAAGCTACCAATATACAATTCATGATCCTCTGGGACCTTCAGCTTTTAATATCTTGATTTTATGTACCAAAATGACCTGTGTGTGAAGAAGTACAGGAGTACTTTCCTTATCAAACTACACTCATTTCACCCTGATAAACAAAGAGTTATAAGTATCATTCACTTCAAGATTGGGAATTAACATATCCTACTAATATACAATGTGTACTATTACTTCCTACAAGTCACTACTTAACCCAACAGCAGCTGGGTGGGTGCTATTCTAGAACACCCTTCAGTGTTGTAACCCACATATATACAGCCCATGTTCCTATGGGATGTAATCATGCTCAGCGCAGGCATTGCACTGAGGGTTCTTTCAGGAGCTCCTTCTGTGCGCCCTGCTGCTGCTGCAGCCTGGCCTCGCCTGCCTCTCATGCCTCTCATGCACCAAACCCTCTCTCCTCCCCGCCTGCTGCTTCACCCCCTCCCT